CGTCATGCGAGCGACCGCACTCAGATATAGGCATTCAAAAGGAGGTTCAAACAACTGGCTTGAACGCCGTATATGCTCTCAGCCCTCAATCTGTAAGATCTGCGCCACAACATTTTGAATGACAGTCCCTTCCTTTTGCGCCTGATTATAGGTTCTCCAAGAAACTGCTCACAACTCTAGTTCCTCAGATGCTCCGTACATCCCACCATGCGTCCTACTCCAAGTATTCACCGCGAAAGACGCATCTCTTGCACTCCTAGGGTTGGGAAAGAACATTTGACACACGGGAGGAAGAACACAAACAATGTTTCCGCAGAAGACTTTTCTGGTCGTCGAAATTTCAAGCGTCCAGATCTACTACAAAGCTGGAGAGCTTGAGCAACCGTTAGCCCTTACCTCTCGCCCCGGCGTTCCCGCCCACTCCTGCCCCGATTCATCAGCCACGTGCGACTTTATGAACAGGTTGTGCAGCAGCTGGAGCTCGTCCGCGGTTGGCGCTTTCTTGTACAGGCTGTCCTCCCGGTCCTTCTTCCGTCGTTCCGCATTCCGCTCCCCGGACTGCGAAAACGGAACGGTAAATGTTGGTGGAACTTCAGGGGCTACTTGAGTGCGGTAGAGGCTACTCCACATCGTGAAAAGCTGGTCTGCTGTGCGTTTTTCCCATTGTAATCTATCGTCGAGGCCCTTTTTCCCTTCGTTCCGACACTTCGAAGGAACAAAACGGTAAATTATTGCTGAGGCTTCAAGGGTTACTGAAGGCTGGAGGCTGATTAACTTCTAAAGGGCTGGTGTGCTGTATGCTTCTATGCACAACCTCTCTACAACTTTCGTCGAGGTCCCTGTTCCGTCGCTCAGCAGAGTGAACTCGGCCGGGAAGACGAGATTAGATGGCCGTTTAGAAACAAGTTCAGGTTCTTGAAAGCTCCCCCAAGCCTTTCATTATGAATGAGGTGATCACCATCCCTTCGAGACTGACTTAAGTCGCACACTGAGCTGTCCATCTAGAAAAGCTATACCGGCCAGGTAATTTATCACCCGAAGAGGTACAGAGCTAGGAATGATCGGATACTCCGGGATCAGATGCGACGCACATTTGTGAGCCTCCTGATAGTTGAGGAGGCTCAGACAGGAGTGCCGCCGAACAACGTCGCACCTCGAAGAGCGTCTTTGCTTTCGGCGTTTCCAGCATTAGCTGCGGGACCGGCGCCGCCTTGTCGTCCTCCCGTGACACCATGACGAAGTGCGCGCTACCCAAAACCTCCGGAGTGTCGCCCGGCTGCGGCCCAACGGTGGAAGCTTCCAGCGTGATCTCCATCGAAGAGCGCCCCACCCACGTCACCTGCGAAATGTTTCGATGCAGAAGTTCGAAAACAATGCCCGGCTGAGGGACCCTTGCAGGGTACTCTCACTTGAACGCTTTCACGGTAATCTCCGTTGAATAGCGCCCTACACACGTCACCTGCGAAACGGGTTCAATGCAAAACTTCGATAAGAGTATCCGGATGGACGATGGACGCTTCGAGAGTAACCCTCATTGAAGAGCGCCCCACCCACGTCACCTGCACGAAGATCCAACCTCTTCTCAATCTCGATCTTTTCTTTTTTCGAACGTTCATTCTGTTTTGGTCCAAAACAGATTTTCATGACGATTGAATCTAGTGCAGTCTTTTGGGTTGACCTGTCAGAATCTCTCGACCACATATGACGCAACGTCGTGATCGATTTTAATGGTCGAGATCAATCAAGATTTCCTCCTGATTTTTGCTGCTGGGGTTTGCTCGCAAAAGGTTGGCATGACTCTGCTAACCAGATCCCGATAGACCAATCTGACGATGATGGCTTGACTAGGAAAGGCAGCATCAATCAATAGCACAAACGACACGTGTCCTTCACCTGACCCTGTATTCGCAGGTCCTTGTCGAGCCGAATCAACTCGCCAGCCCAAGCCAAATGGTCCACAGCCGCGGTGGCTATCAGCCGGTCTTTCCTCCGGAGGTGCCGCCAAACAACGTCACCAGCCATAGCGTCCACTGTGGATAGAATATTCTCTTCTGTCAGCATATTCGAGGATGCCGAAGCAGTCTAGTAGGCGCGGTAAGTCTGATAACGTTGAAGTAAAGCAGGAGAGTCTCAGCAGCTTGACGAACGGAGTTGTCGAGATGTCTGCCGTCTAGCATCTCAGCAGCGTTAGAAGATTGATTCGTCAAAGGGAAGCAGTTTGAAAGGGTGACAAGACTGGATTGTCAAAACAATGTGGTTGGGTTTTGACAGTTCGGTTGAATGAAGCCTGTCGGAAGCAAAGCAGCGTGAAAGACAGAGCCGTTGAAACGAATCTTTTTAGAATCTCAGCAATGTTCTAAGGATTCGTCGAGGTAAGCAGTTTAGAAACTCGGCCGCGTGGTGCGACTGCATCGGCGGGTCGAAGCAGTGTCGAGCAAACGCAGAAATTCAGAAGTATCGGCAATGAGATGTCGGAACCATCATCCATCACTTTCGTACTTTCAAACAATGTCGAGGGCAGTAGACTCGAGAAGCTCTGGCAGAGGGCATGTCAAGACCTTCTCTTTGAAGGTAGCATCTTTTGGCAACTTCGTGTTGCAGTGGCAACTTACTGTCCTCGAGAATCTTCCCGAACCGTACATAGCCTGTCCCAAACAATCGGTACTGCTCTTTCAAGCTTGCCGATCTGGTGAATGGATATCGAATTTCGATCCAGGACTCCTCTGGTCGTCTTTCTGTTATGCTGCAGATTGAAAGGAGCTGTTAGTCTCATTGTTGTGACATTACCTGCAAGTCAATCCATGGCTTACAAGGTAATTGACAGGTTCTATTGAGCTCTTCGACCCCAATGGGCCCTTTTCTCAAGTAAAGCATTTGTCAAAAGTCCCATAACCAATATGTGAAACACACACTGCTAAGATGCAGACTTTATCTGAGATGCTGAGCCATACTTGTATGTACAGCCTTGAGGCTGGTGCTGACTTTGCCCACGCTTTGTCTTGCAGTGGCCTCAAACAGTAGCGGGCCTTATTTTCAGGAGGATCTAAAGCAATCAGTCTTCATAGCGTTTGCTTCAATCATAATAGTGGCTCACCTCTTGGTCACTTGAGGATTTTCCTGGGCATCTCCTGCGTAGCGCACTTCCAACTCGTCCACAAGACCTGTACGTATGTTGCATATTAGGGACAACTAAGGCTCTCCCACCAGAAATCTACTGGGAGTCGGGATTTGCAGATTGTGGGGCAGATAATGATCAGAGCAGTGTATACGAATACCTGGCGGCGATGGGGTTATCATCTGAAAGTACAGTGCCTTGCAGAAATGAAGGCATAAAGGTCACATCTGAACGTACAGCAGCTGACACAATGGCGCAGTTCCGCACCATCGAATCAAATTGGACTCCTGAAATATGTCACATAAGAAGCATTCGCTGTAAGATGAAATTCACTCTTACTGCTGACAAGTGGTGCACTCGGGAATCAATCCAAGCAACCATCACCTACGAGGTGCATCAATAAGAAGGCCAACTGAAGATCATTAGAGGACTGACCTTTGTTCCGGTGAGACAGGTCAAGGGTGAAGGGGATCACACTAGGTAAGTCCAAAGCGCTGGCGACTCGAGGAGTGAAGCTGCTGGCGTTGATCTCATCCCCCTCCATCAGAGCAAGTGGTGGCGAGCTAGTGAATGACGCTACCTGGCATGGATTTCTGTTTTCATGGAAGCGGGCAACTGATTTCGCTGCTGGCTGTGTTGATCCATAAGAGTAAGCCAACTCTTGAGTGCAACTCCCTATCTTCTTCAAAGGCCATAAAGTTGGCGAACAAAGTGGCGCCAGCTGAGAATCGGACAGTCGAGAGCCTCCTTTTGCTGCACCACCAAATACCAAGTTCTCCTCAAATTTGGCTGTCAATCTGCTGAGCCTGCAAGCCACGCTTGTGGATATTTCAACCTCCTTGTTTGAATGGAAGCTATGCTTTGAGCAACTTATATCCAAAAACATGCGCAAAAGTCCAGCCGCTCTCTTCGATTTACAGGCCAGCTTGTGAAGATGCAATGCGGCCATAGATTGATCACCAGGCTTTCTCTGCAATGTCTCTTACAGCTGGAACTTCATGTTGGACTTTGATGCATTGCCATCAGCCCAGAAATGGACATTGGTGACGTAGAATTTAGAAATAGGTAGGTCGTCCTGTAATAAAAAGGCCCCAATTGGCTTCAGGTGGAACCGCCGCGCGCGCGCGCCATACTAATAGCGCATCATCATAGCTCAGCTGTGAGCCTGTGTGACACGTAGTCTTGTCAGCTCATATATTACCGTAGATTTGTGCACTCGGTTAGCTTCACACCGTTGGATTAAGAGTACAACGGCCGTCACCCCTGCTTCGAATAACGGATACTGCATACTGCACGCTGATTGGCTGGCGCTGATTGGCCTTAGCTCCCAGTCTAAGCACTGTAGCTTAGACTGACTCTCAGCCTAGACTTGAGCTGAGGAGAGTACAAAGGGTGGATTTCTCCACCTCTGCCTCATTCTCAGACTTCTCGGATTCTTGAGATTGAAGGCGCCCCTTTTCCTAAGAGTTTATCACCCCCGGACCCCTCTTGCCTTGGATAAGCGGAGGATTTTCCTTGTGAAAATCGCTTCCGTTCACACTGGTATCAGAGGTTTCTCTTGATCCTTCACTTGTTCTCAGCTCAAACTCAGCTCAGCAGGGGTCATCATGGGGGATGAGACTGCTGGAGGCTCCGTGGCTGCTCAAGTGGAGGTGCAAATGGCTCTCATGGCGGAGACCATTTCCCAGCTGAGGGGCGACAACCTGAGACTGCAGGAAGAGCTGGCTGGTCGCCAGCAAGCTGCAGCTGCACAGGCCCCTGCAGAGACGCTTGCTCCCGCACCGGTGGTTCAAAGGGCTGGGGATCTTCCGAGGATGCCCAAGCCCAAGGCCTACGTCGGTTCACAGCTTCCAGGGGCTGTGGACAATTTTATTTTTGCTTGCACACAGTATTTTGGTTACCATTCCATGCCTGCAGATAGGAGAGTGTTCTTTGCAGCGAGTCTCGTTGGAGGGTTCTGCTCAGTACGTTGGT